ACAAATCTGTTTATTATTCGTTTTACAAGTGACTGCCAATCCTCAAGCTTCAAAAGGGAACTTGGCCAAAAGGCATTGAGAGTGCAATATAATTGTTAGATATTTAAACAACATTTCTACTTAGGTTTAGAGAAAAAACATTTAATATGCATTTAAATAGATTAGATATTTCCTCTCTCCATATCATTGTTGCATCATTGTTTCCCTTTTTGATAACCAGTGGGGGCTTGTGCCAGAAAGAGCATTAACCTGAATTGGAGGATAGAGATTCCATGTGGTCAAGTACAACAAGGTCTGATCAGTGTGTAAAAGGCCTGCACAGCCTTTGAATGCCAACTCACACTGAACTATATATGATCAACTCCTCTAATGTTACTACGTTAAGGTGCTCTTACATTTCTCTGAATTCCATGTCACAGATAATAATACAGAGATTGAAGCATGCTAGCATTCATTTAATCTAGGCTTTGCCACTGCTAATTGCAGAGACAGCTTTGAGAACAGTAATGCGTGGCCCGAGCAATATGTTTTACAATACATTGTAAAACTCAACCTAAGAGGTCAGATTGTAGGTTTTATCATTTGGAGAATGACCATGTCATGAACCTTTGAATGACGAATAATAATCATGCATTATACCCATCTCCAATAATGCATTGAGGAGATACTTGTATGCCCTTCAATCATTGAAAGGTATCCGGTGAATTATCAAAAAATCTTTACGAAAAAACATCACAGCGGAAGAGTACGAGGAGCACCTTAAAGATACCACAGGCACTGAGAAGCATCTACTGCAATATCAGCAGAGTTCAAAATAACTATATTTCAGAAAAAAAGCCCTACACCTGCAGAATGTGCCCACTGCTCAGGCATAGCAAAATGCAGGTTGAGCAAATGTGACAATAGACACATTTCTAGGGATAACACAAGTATTGTGAATCCCAAAAAGTACTGACTTGTGACCTATCATTCAGCAAAGACCCCCTTTAAAGGGTGATTATAAAATAGTTATTACTTGCCTGCATTTTTGCCACCAGCATAGACATTCACTGTGTCTATCAAATTCCGTATTCTGTATGTATGAAATAGAATATAAGGGTGAACATGGCTAGACAGTTGAAGAAGGGATATTGGTTTTTGTTATGCTATAACATTCATGACATGCCTCTGATTTATAGTGACAGGTGAAGCATTTTACATACTGGAGTCAATTAAAACAACAATGGATTATTGAATGAATGGATGGATTCCAATATCCTGCTGACTTACCAAGCAGTGCTTGGAACAGGCTGCTTTTGAAGACCCCCATCACTCTCTGAATGGCAGTTTTGAGCTGTTGTTCCTCTGGCTTCCTCAGTTTAGCACAGTAGTCTTCCAAAAGGCCTAGGGCCCTAGCTGTGTCTGCAGGAGGGTTCGGATTGGAGACCAGTTAGCATGTTATTCAAAATAAAGTCATTTTAGTTTATAGTTAAACATAGTCACAAGTGATGAAATAGCAAACATCAGACAAGCACCGGGCCAGGACTAATTTACAAAGCCATTTTGTTTGAAAAAGGTTTACAGTAGCTTGCGCTTCTGCCCACATTTTTTCCCCCATTTGTGAAAGTGATAATAAAAAACGGAATCTTAAGCATGTAATGACAACTGCATGTGCAAAAGACGATGAGGCCACTTGTATGGTTTATAATTAGCAACCATTTTCACTACTAATATGAGAGGCAGTTTTGTAACGGCACAGAAATGTGGAGCATGGATAGTGTCCGCTTGGCACGGGTGTCAGGGGGCAAGATACCACTCAGTCACACAGACACAGGAATCATCGTTGGGCTCAGACCATGTTAACAAGGGAGAACACAGGGAAACAAAGCTGCGCTTTACTCAGGGGTGGGGAGGAGGGGTCCTGTGGCAAGTGTGACAAGACAAAAGTCAACACTAAACTATGTCTTGTTTCAAAGAAACTCATAAGAATAGACTGTAAAATGGTATTTACTTACTGCTATTGATTTATAATGCCTGTTTAATTGATGTAGCTGTCTGCTGTCTAGTTAGACTTTTACTCCTGGAAACTCTGGAAGGTTGAACGATCTTGCATGACTTTCATTGTACAGTACAGTTGTACAGTTGAACAATTCGGACAGCAATTTTTTTTTTATTGCTGTACAAATACAGACCAGTGGCTGCGACCAACTGAGGTCACGCCAGGACAAGCCTCCAAAGACTTATACTTATATGGAGATGCTTTGCGGACTGAACTTACACTACAATCAACATGTATAAAAAGGATATCAAAATCCTTTACTGAATATGATCGCACAATTCTCATAACTTCCAGCCCAACTATGTCTAGTGGTCATTCCCATTATCCATAAGGCTATTCCCTGCAATATTCAATTAAAATAATGCCATCATCACTTTAATGAATAAGGCTTTATAAATGCTTACAAATAAGTATAAATGCTGTATAACTTATACATGCTTTAGAAATAAGGAATTATTAGGCCTAGTACTGAAAATATTTATTCATGCTTATTCATGAAAGCTATTATAAGTGTTTGTTACCTAATATTCCTATCTATAATAAACTACAGGTAACTGCCAAAATAAAGGAAACACTTGAGTAAATGAGGGATACAAATATATTGAAAGCAGATGCTTCCACACAGGTGTGGGTCCTGAGTTAATTAAGCAATTAACATCCCATCATGCTTAGGGTCATCTATAAAAATGCCCAGTTGCCCATTATTTTGGCTTCCATGGCTAGAAGAGATCTCAGTGACTTTGAAAGAGGGGTCTCAAAGGAGCATAGAGAGTGTGTGTCTCAGTCACCAGATTTCCACCCAATTGAACACTTATGGGAGATTCTGGAGTAGCGCCTGAGACAGTGTTTTCCACCACCATTAACAAAACAACAAATTAAGGCATTTCCTGTGGAAGAATGGTGTTGTATCCCTCCAATAGAGTTCCAGACACTTGTAGAATCTATGCCAAGGTGCACTAAAGCTGTTCTGGCGGCCCAACTCCCTATTAAGACACTTTGCTGGTGTTTCCTTTATTTTGGAAGTTACCTGTACATTATCAATGACTGTTCTGTTTCATAGGCTACAGTGCCATATGTTAGGTTTATATTACAAGTTTTGGGGTAATTTTTTATTTTGTTTGCCATTAGCTTACCTACAGGAGCATAACTTAAAGGCTAAAGGCAATTCTGTCCTACAAGCTGACATGGGTCTATAAGTGCTGAATGACAATAAAGAGCCACTGATGTTTTTTTCACTTGTGGCTGCAGTGGCAAGACACCGGTTGTGCCAGTTAAGTTTCTGCTCACCTTTTTTTCTTACAGGCATAGTTGAATCCTGGATCCGTATCAGTGATTTACTCCTGCTCTCAGTTCTCTTCAGTGCATCTTTAAAAGTTTCAGACAGTGGTAACCGCTAGGTAGAAAACCACATCATTGGCGAGTAAGTTGTGCTATAACGTGTGTGCCCTTAGGTTTCCAGTTTTGAAAGCTATATAGGCTTTTGCTCCAACAGAATCAGTAGGCTAGTCTAAAACAATAGACTATAGCACAGGGCAAAACAGGCCACAAACAAAAACTATACTTGCAATGTGGCTGTGCATGCTTGTTCAGTTCATCTTCAGCAAAGATGTAGCCTAGCCAATGCTTCGCCGAAATGCATTCAGCCCGAAAGCGTTGAAGTTAAGTAATAAAAATGCAAAATCCTCCTATTTTCTGTGGTCCTGTGAAAAGTGATTTGTCTGTAGCTTGTGTAGGCTATATTTCCGATTAAGGTGCGCTAATGCTGCTGTGCTGACAGGTGCAACGGCTGTCGCGCGCGTTCTGATGTTCCCGCACAGACAGTTGTCGGGAGATATTATCATGTAATGGACATTAACTATAGCCTAGGCTAAGTGTTCGGTCGGTATATTCCCTCAATTTACTCACTTTTGTTGAGCCCCGGCCCAGCGAGATTTTCCGAGTTTCTATCACTTCCCTTGCAGTTTGATGCTGGCATTGAGTCAATGGCGCTCCCATGTAATGACCTGGGGATTTAAAAAACTAAACCAATGGCAGTCCAAAGAAACGTTAAAGGTGCGGTAACGTTAATCCGCAGAGTGAAATATGCAACCAATGCTATTTTAGCGCGTGAAACAACGTTGCAGCATGGGCTATAATGAAATGAGCAGGGGTAGCCGCCTATTTGTAGACTAACAACATATCAAGTTTAATTAGGCTACCTGGCAGCAATTCTTCATAGCCTAATATTTTATCTATTAATTTGGTGTGGCCCAGTTGGCTAAACGAACCAGGTGTGTAGATATCTATGGCTATCAAAATCGATAACATTAGCTGGCCAAAATGTATTGCAAGTCATACCACCACGAATAAAATTGATGGGCTCCATCCAATAACTCAGTTAGCTAAGGTTATGTAGCTGGTGTGATTCTCCGTCATCTTCCTTTGATTTAACATAAGGCATTCAACCATTCAAACTGAAATTAACTCAATGCTCGCAAACACATGCATCATTGTAGTTTAACCAGCTTGAACCCTAAAACGAACCCCATGACAGTGAAACTGGAAGTTGTCAAAGAGTTCGGTTAATGATAGCCTAATTTCAGTGAGGATGTCTTTCCTGGATGTCAGTGCGCACGCGCCTGTAGGAAAATACCTGCCTGGCTGATCTTGCTGTAAAACGCATGGCTCTGCAATAACCCGTCTATTTTATACATTCCATATATTCTTTGCGAAATATCTGGAACTTCCTCGTCCTCTTATTTGCTGTTCCTTGGCTGCTGTGTCACATCACCCTGTTTCATTCCCAAATCTACAGCCACCGAATGGAAAGCTGCATCATCAGTACCCGTTTTAGCTTAGCAACGGAGAGGTTTGTAACTAGCTACACCTTGATTGACAAAACTTTACATCCAATGGCATGGCGATGTTTTTTGTCCAGGCTCGTGAGTACTGACCAATAGAATTGGTTGTGAAAGGTTCAGAGTTCACTCTGGTGCACGTGGTTTAAAATGTCTGCGCCCTTCCACTAAATAATGATACAGACAAAAATATTGAAACAGCTAAACGTTTACAGCACATAGCTACATTAGAGCTGAGACATCGCCAAGGTAAGGAAGCAATACTTGACAGTACAGCAATACATAAACTGGTGTTATTCCAGTGTAATCGTGATTAATAATATATATTTTTTGCTCACTGAACTAGGCTGCTTGGACGGGGTTTTATAAAATGTAATGTTGGCTAGGTAAAGTTACCACTCTCGAACGTGTTGCATACACGTTCACTCAGCCCTGTCAATGATAGCCTACATTATTGGTAGACAGTGACATTTATTTAAAAAATGTGGTCATGCATTGCAGGGAATCTTGCTGAAGATGTCAGAAACCAGCAATGTCGTTGTACAAAAAGGCACCAGCAGCACAGTTCCCAGAGCTCTGATCATTCAAATGATGGCGGAAAAATTCGAACGGCTGCCTGAACTTGACAGGTACGTTTTTGTAGGCCTATGCCATAGAGAATGATAGAGGTCTCTAGTTGCCAAAATGCTGTGTTAGCATGGGCAGCGCCACAGAGGGCATAGACTATTTTAATGTAGTCAACTGGGTGGGACTTCCACTTCATTGGCTGAACCCTCCTGGTGACCCTGTTGGAGTCATATCCAACCAGTTCATCAGGAGGGATCAGCCAATCTTGAAGAAGAGCATTTACTAATTCAAAATGGAGATAGCTTCAATGGTGCTGCCCATGCTGTCACAGACACTATAGATGGGTCAGCTAACAACTTCACGAAAACTATGCACACGCTTCTGGCGCAGAAGTCTGTGTGTTGTTGTGATTCTGGATGGCCAGATCGCTTGCAGTAGTGATGGGGAAACTAAGCTTCCTGAAGCATAGTTTAACACGTGTCTGTTTTGTTGCTAAACAACCAACCTGTCTATAATGGCACAGGTACAAAGATGAGTCGTCCATTTCTATGGTCTATGCCTAGAGTGTTAATTGCCTTGACAGCCTTTTGCATTTTGCTCTCATAACATTAACAACCTATGAAATATCACTGTTGTTCTACAGGAAAATCTTCACCTATGGCCCCATGTACCTGGGAGGTAATGGGGCATTTGCAGGACTGATTGCCAACAGCTTATACAGGAGAGCACTGAATGTCACTCAAGGGCGTTTTACATCAAATCTCCCAATGGCTGTCCTACCATTCTTGACAACAGTGGCCATGTATAATGTAGCTGTATCTAAACCATTAATGTCTGGTGAGTGTGTAGTTGTTTTAGTTGCAATTCAAGTTTTCTACAATATTTTAATTGTTTCTGAATTGAATCTGACATTCTTAAACTCATTCAGGTGACCTTAACTGTCCAACCTGTGTCCTGATAAGAGGTGCCCTTGTCGGCGCAGTTGGTGCTGGTGTATATCCTATTCTGTTGGCTTTGCCTGTGAATGCAGGCCTTGCAACCAGGTATGTGCAACTCTTTCCAGTAGGTTGAAGTTGCCCCTAGACACTGATCTTGGGTCAGTTTTTGCATTTCCCCCACTGGTTAAGGTTAGGATTGGGGGAAGGGAAACTGATCCTAGATCTGTACCTTGTAAAATTAACCCCTGAGCATGTATCAACCACAAAAAGGTTTAATCAATGTGCTTGGCTGACTGAATTTGCATAATTATGCCATTCTAATTATCTGACAGGTACAACACTACACCAATGCCAGAAAAGGGAAACGTCCTCCGTTTTTGGATCAACATTACCCAACCAATCCTGAGGAAAATGGGTGTTGTGATAGTGCTACAGGTGTTCTTTGGCACCTACCTAAGCTCCAGACACTTTGACAGCTACTTGAAGTTGCTTCAGTTGTCCACATCAAATGGCGAGGAGCTTGTGGATTAAAACGGTATCAAACTAACCTAAATGTGCTCTGTATTTTTATTTTCTTGAGTCCTTGAATTACATGGACAAACATTTATCTGGATAATCGTAATGTAATAAGACTAAATTATATCAACGCTATCGCTGGAATAAATGTACATTTATATGCAATGTCAAAGGGCAAAACGAAACCATGGGGATACTGCAGATTGTCATTTTTTCCGCTGTTTGCAATGGCGTCATTTACAGCTGTATCACAGAGGAGTAGAGGCCCATTCATAATTGTAATTCAAGTGGATGGCAGCATTCACATTGCAACGATAACAAAAAACATGGACTGATAACAATAGCTAGGATTTGAATATTGTCTAGAGTTCTAATTCCATGGTCTATATGTTACTTGCTCAAAGTGATGCAAAATCATTTCTGCAATGCATTGTAATTATGAAATTAGATTTAACTACTAAGGTAATGGAATCAGCATTGCGCTTAACTTCCTTCTTTGCAATTGGAACATTGATAATTAAATACTAAAACATGTGCCTGTAAAATTTGCCTAAAGTACTTTAGAATCTAGTACCCGGCTGAAGTTAAAGCAATCCCAGTGTATGTATGTATGTATGTATGTATGTACAGTGCATTCATAAAGTATCCAGACCCCTTGACTTTTTCCACATTTTGTTACAGCCTTATTCTAAAATGGATTCAATTGGTGTTTTCCCCTCAATCTACACACACAATACCCCATAATGACACAACAAAAACAGGTTTAGACATTTTTGCTAATATATACAGTGGGGAGAACAAGTATTTGATACACTGCCGATTTTGCAGGTTTTCCTACTTACAAAGCATGTAGAGGTCTGTAATTTTTTAAAAATCCAGAAAATCACATTGTATGATTTTTAAGTAATTAATTTGCATTTTATTGCATGACATAAGTATTTGATCACCTACCAACCAGTAAGAATTCCGGCTCTCACAGACCTGTTAGTTTTTCTTTAAGAAGCCCTCCTGTTCTCCACTCATTATCTGTATTAACTGCACCTGTTTGAACTCGTTACCTGTATAAAAGATACCTGTCCACACACTCAATCAAACAGACAACCTCTCCACAATGGCCAAGACCAGAGAGCTGTGTAAGGACATCAGGGATAAAATTGTAGACCTGCACAAGGCTGGGATGGACTACAGGACAATAGGCAAGCAGCTTGGTGAGAAGGCAACAACTGTTGGCGCAATTATTAGAAAATGGAAGAAGTTCAAGATGACGGTCAGTCACCCTCGGTCTGGGGCTCCATGAAAGATCTCACCTAGTGGGGCATCAATGATCATGAGGAAGGTGAGGGATCAGCCCAGAACTACACGGCAGGACCTGGTCAATGACCTGAAGAGAGCTGGGACCACAGTCTCAAAGAAAACCATTAGTAACACACTACGCCGTCATGGATTAAAATCCTGCAGCTCACGCAAGGTCCCCCTGCTCAAGCCAGCGCATGTCCAGGCCCGTCTGAAGTTTGCCAATGACCATCTGGATGATCCAGAGGAGGAATGGGAGAAGGTCATGTGGTCTGATGAGACAAAAATATAGCTTTTTGGTCTAAACTCCACTCGCCGTGTTTGGAGGAAGAAGAAGGATGAGTACAACCCCAAGAACACCATCCCAACCGTGAAGCATGGAGGTGGAAACATCATTCTTTGGGGATGCTTTTCTGCAAAGGGGACAGGACGACTGCACCGTATTGAGGGGAGGATGGATGGGGCCATGTATCGCGAGATCTTGGCCAACAACCTCCTTCCCTCAGTAAGAGCATTGAAGATGGGTCGTGGCTGGGTCTTCCAGCATGACAACGACCCGAAACACACAGCCAGGGCAACTAAGGAGTGGCTCCGTAAGAAGCATCTCAAGGTCCTGGAGTGGCCTAGCCAGTCTCCAGACCTGAACCCAATAGAAAATCTTTGGAGGGAGCTGAAAGTCCGTATTGCCCAGCGACAGCCCCGAAACCTGAAGGATCTGGAGAAGGTCTGTATGGAGGAGTGGGCCAAAATCATCCCTGCTGCAGTGTGTGCAAACCTGGTCAAGACCTACAGGAAAAGTATGATCTCTGTAATTGCAAACAAAGGTTTCTGTACCAAATATTAAGTTCTACTTTTCTGATGTATCAAATACTTATGTCATGCAATAAAATGCAAATGAATTACTTTAAAATCATACAATGTGATTTTCTGGATTTCTGTTTTAGATTCCGTCTCTCACAGTTGAAGTGTACCTATGATAAAAATTATAGACCTCTAAATGCTTTGTAAGTAGGAAAACCTGCAAAATCGGCAGTGTATCAAATACTTGTTCTCCCCACTGTATATAAAAAAAAGAAAAAAGTATTCAGACACTTTACTCAGTACTTTGTATAAGCACCTTTGGCAGCGATTACAGCCTCAAGTCGTCTTGGGTATGACGCTACGAGCTTGGCACACCTGTATTTGGGGAGTTTCTCCCATTCTTCTCTGTAGATCCTCTCAAGCTCTGTCAGGTTGGATGGGGAGCATCGCTGCACAGCTATTTTCAGGTCTCTCCAGATATGTTCCATTGGGTTCAAGTCCGAGCTCTGGCTGGGCCACTAAAGGACATTGAGACTTGTCCCGAAGCCACTCCTGCGTTGTCTTGGCTGTGTGCTGAGGGTCGTTGTCCTGTTGGCAGGTGAACCTTCGCTCCAGTCTGAGGTCATGAGCGCTCTGGAGCAGGTTTTCATCAAGGATCGCTCTGTACTTTGCTTCGTTCATCTTTCCCTCGATCCTGACTAGTCTCCCTGCCACTGAAAAACATCCCCACAGCATGATGCTGCCACCACGCTTCACCGTAGGGATGGTGCCAGGTTTCCGCCAGACGTGACGCTTGACATTCAGCCCAAAGAGTTCAATCTTGGTTTCATCAGACCAGAGAATCTTGTTTCTCATGGTCTGAGAGTCGTCATGTGCCTTTTACTGAGGAGTTGCATCCATCTGGCCACTCTACCATAAAGGCCTGATTGGTGGGGTGCTGCAGAGATGGTTGTCCTGGAAGATTCTCCCATCTCCACAGAGGAACTCTAGAGCTCTCTGAGTGACCATCGGGTTCTTGGTCACCTCCCTGACCAAGGCCTTTCTCCCCCAATTGCTCAGTTTGGCCGGGTGGCCAGCTCTAGGAAGAGTCTTGGTGGTTCCAAACAAACTTCTTCCATTTAAGAATGATGGAGGCCACTGTGTTCTTGGAGACCTTCAATGCTGCAGACATTTTTTGGTACCCTTCCCCAGATCTGTGCCTCGACACAATCCTGTCTCGGAGCTCTACGGACAATTCCTTCAACCTCATGGCTTGATTTTTGCTCTGACACGCACTGTCAACTGTGGGACCTTATATAGACAGGTGTGTGCCTTTCCAAATCATGTCCAATCAGTTGAATTTACCACAGGTGGACTCCAATCAAATTGTAGAAACATCTCAAGGATGATCAATGAAAACAGGATGCACCTGAGCTCAATTTCCAGTCTCATAGCAAAGGGTCTGTAAATAAGTTGTATTTTATAAATTTGCAAACATTTCTACAAACATGTTTTTCGCTTTGTCATTATGGGGTATTGTGTGTAGATTGAGGATTTTAAAAAATCAATTTTAGAATAAGGCTCTAACGTAACAAAATGTGGAAAAAGTCAATGGGTCTGAATACTTTCCGAAGGCACTGTATCTGTAAGGTCCCTCAGTCGAGCAGTGAATTTCAAACAGATTCAACCACAGACTTCCAATGCCTTGAAGGGTAAAAATAAAGACACTGAATATCCATTTGAGCATGGTGAAGTTATTAATTACACTTTGGATGATGTGTCAATACACCCAGTCACTACAAAGACACAGGCGTCCTTCCTAACTCAGTTGCCGGAGAGGAAGGAAACCACTCAGGGATTTCACCATGAGGCCAAAGGTGACTTTAAAACAGTTACAGAGTTTAATGGCTGTGATCGGAGAAAACTGAGGATGGATCAACAACATTGTAGTTCCTCCACAATACTAATGTGAGTGACAGAGTGAAAAGGAGGAAGCCTGTACAGAATAAAAATATACAGTGTTATGTTTGGGGCAAATCCAATACAACACATAACTGAGTACCACTCTCCATATTTAAGCATAGTGGTGGCTGCATCGTGTTATGGGTATGCTTGTAATTGTTATGGACTGCAGAGTTTTTCCAGGATAAAAAAAATTAACGGAATGGAGCTAAGCACAGACAAAATGCTAGAGAAAAACTTGGTTCAATCTGCTTTCCACCAGACACTGGGAGATGAATTCACATTTCAGGAGGACAATAACCTAAACCCAAGGCCAAATCTACACTGGAGTTGATTACCAAGAAGACATTGAATGTTCCTGAGTGACTGAGTTAGTTTTGACTTAAATCTACTTTAATCTAATGGCAAAACCTGAAAATGGTTGTCTAGCAATGATCAACAACCAATTTGACAGCACTTGAAGAATTAAAAAAATTATAAAATGGGCAAATGTTGCACAATCCAGGTGTGGAAAGCTCTTCGAGACATACAGTGAGGGAAAAAAGTATTTGATCCCCTGCTGATTTTGTACGTTTGCCCACTGACAAAGACATGATCAGTCTATAATTTTAATGGTAGGTTTATTTGAACAGTGAGAGACAGAATAACAACAACAAAAATCCAGAAAAACGCATGTAAAAAATGTTATAAATTGATTTGCATTTTAATGAGGGAAATAAGTATTTGACCCCTCTGCAAAACATGACTTAGTACTTGGTGGCAAAACCCTTGTTGGCAATCAATTTTCTTGTAGTTGGCCACCAGGTTTGCACACATCTCAGGAGGGATTTTGTTCCACTCCTCTTTGCAGATCTTCTCCAAGTCATTAAGGTTTCAAGGCTGACGTTTGGCAACTCGAACCTTCAGCTCCCTCCACAGATTTTCTATGGGATTAAGGTCTGGAGACTGGCTAGGCCACTCCAGGACCTTAATGTGCTTCTTCTTGAGCCACTCCTTTGTTGCCTTGGCCGTGTGTTTTGGGTCATGGTCATGCTGGAATACCCATCCACAACCCATTTTCAATGCCCTGGCTGAGGGAAGGAGGTTCTCACCCAAGATTTGACGGTACATGGCCCCGTCCATCGTCCCTTTGATGCGGTGAAGTTGTCCTGTCCCCTTTGCAGAAAGACACCCCCAAAGCACAATGTTTCCACCTCCGTGTTTGACGGTGGGGATGGTGTTCTTGGGGTCATAGGCAGCATTCCTCCTCCTCCAAACACGGCGAGTTGAGTTGATGCCAAAGAGCTCCATTTTGGTCTCATCTGACCACAACACTTTCACCCAGTTCTCCTCTGAATCATTCAGATGTTCATTGGCAAACTTCAGACGGCCCTGTATATGTGCTTTCTTGAGCAGGGGGACCTTGCGGGCGCTGCAAGATTTCAGTCCTTCACGGCGTAGTGTGTTACCAATTGTTTTCTTGGTGACTATGGTCCCAGCTGCTTTGAGATCATTGACAAGATCCTCCCGTGTAGTTCTGGGCTGATTCCTCACCGTTCTCATGATCATTGCAACTCCACAAGGTGAGAACTTGCATGGAGCCCCAGGCCGAGGGAGATTGACAGTTATTTTGTGTTTCTTCCATTTGCAAATAATCGCACCAACTGTTGTCACCTTCTCACCAAGCTGCTTGGCGATGGTCTTGTAGCCCATTCCAGCCTTGTGTAGGTCTACAATCTTGTCCCTGACATCCTTGGAGAGCTCTTTGGTCTTGGCCATGGTGGAGAGTTTGGAAACTGATTGATTGATTGCTTCTGTGGACAGGTGTCTTTTATACAGGTAACAAACTGAGATTAGGCGCACTCCCTTTAAGAGTGTGCTCCTAATCTCAGCTCGTTACCTGTATAAAAGACACCTGGGAGCCAGAAATCTTTCTGATTGAGAGGGGGTCAAATACTTATTTCCCTCATTAAAATGCAAATCAATTTATCATTTTTGACATTCGTTTTTCTGGATTTGTTTGTTGTTATTCTGTCTCTCACTGTTCAAATAAACCTACCATTAAATTATATTTCTTTGTCAGTGGGCAAACGTACAAAATCAGCAGGGGATCAAATACTTTTTTCCCCTCACTGTACCCAGAAAGACACACAGCTGTAATCGCTGCCAAAGGTGCTTCTACAAAGTATTGACTCAGGGGTGTGAATACTTATGTAACTGAGAGTTCTGTGTTTCATTTTCAATATATTAGCAAACATTTCTAAAAACATGTTTTCACTTTGTCATTAATGGATATTTTGTGTAGATAGTGAGAATTCAATTTAATCAATTTTTAATTCAGGCTTTAACTCAACAAAATGTGGATTAAGGGGTATTAATACTTTAAGGCACTGTACATTTGTGTTATACCTTAATCCTAATGGAAATTAAAGCGTGCATTAAGTGATTATCAGGTTGTACAACAGTTCTGCATTTTGAATGTCCTCTGTAGCTCAATTGGTAGAGCATGGCGCTTGTAACGCCAGGGTAGTGGGTTCGAGCCCCGGGACCACCCATACGTAAAAATTTATGCACACATGACTGTAAGTCGCTTTGGATAAAAGCGTCTGCTAAATGGCTTATTATTATTATTAACTTGGCATATCGCACATTTGGAATCAAAGGTATTTTGAAATGAATTTGTGATGCATGAGCCAATGGCAATTTTAGTGATAGTAAGTTACACCTCTGAATCAGGATCGCAATGCAATGGTTGTTTCTCTGTTTAAATCTCAGCCTAAGTCTACCTCATAGCTGTGTTTTAAATGCCCATAAACTGATATTGGGTCCTAAAATTGGATGTTATTTTAACACAAAGGTTCTCAAAAAAAGCATTCAACATATGTGCATAAGACCATCAGGTGTGGAATCATTATTTTTGAGTGGCCCGACATGGGAAAAGGTTTGAAAGTGCCATATCCTAAGGTAATGCAACTGATAAACAATGCAAAAATGATCCAATTTGGATTTTAAAACAGTCAAAATAGCATAACATTTAGTTGTCAAATGTCAAGTAAGACACTTGATGAGCAACATTTGCTTTGTATACTGATATCAAAATGTATAATGGACATTTACTAGCAGGTCAACCAGCCAATCTAAATATTGGCTGAGGATAGTTTTGATTTAAGTTAGTTGGGCTATATCAAATTAATGAATTCTCAATTTCACCAGTGTAGAATACATTATTTTTTGGGAAATGTTTGTGCAAATGACAACAGCCTTCAATTATAGTACAGGTTATAGACAGCTAGTGCATACTAAAAGTGTACCACACAATCACAAAAACTGGATGGAAACGTGGTTACTGAATCGATTTCAGTTGATTTGACCGTGACATTTTCAACATTGGACAGTAACCACCATCACCCCCATTGATTTTTGGTTAGCAGTGGCTAGAGTTTGATGTGGCTGTATTAAAGAAACCCAAATTGCACATTGCACTTACTTTCAGTGCGAGAAACCATTTAACTGTTAGGTCTTAAATACCAAACGTATCCTTTAAAGGCACAATACATTTTTCAGTCAACAGCAGCCCCACCACTTGGTTTGCAACAAAGCTGCGGGATCACAAGGCTGGAGAAATGTACCCACTGAAAATTCATAGGAGCTATGGATGCATGTAGTGACTGTCCACGTGAACATGATAGTTTTAAGGATATTTTGAAGCTATAGTGTTAATAAACATACATTTACACCATATATGCTTCTCTGGCTAAATATTCCATAGTTTTCATTAGAAAACTGTTTAGTTTGCATGCCCAAATAAGTAGCCTTGCATGCCATTGTTATGACCTGTGATTTTTGGGCACGCACCGCATATCAATATATACACAGATTCTTGGAAGAATATAACTTATAATGCCCAATGAGCTTAGTACAACTGTTGCCCAAAATATAAAGGTTGTTTTAAACAAAGTATTTGTAAACAAACAATGTATAGCTTCAAAATATAAGTTTAAAACTATGATTTTGATCTCATGTACTGTCAGTCCTTTAATGCATAGCTTCATCTATGAATTTGAAGGTGGTTACATAACATTTCTCCAACCCATCCTTCAGCTTTATAGCAAACCAAGTATTTGGGTCTGCCATTTGGCTGAAAAACAAATTAAGGATTGTACCTTTAACAAAGTAAAAATGTGTGTATTTAGCTAACAATTTATTTTTCAGATGCAAAATGCCAAGTAACGCCTTGTGGATTCTTCACATTAAATATAAAATCACTGCCATGCCATCCAACTCGACAAACGTATGAGTGACACTTCCTTACATACATTATTTGTTAGACATTCAGACCTCAGAAGTGGTCTGTCAAAAAGAGTCAATGGCCTACGCTACCAGGTGTGTAAATCCTATTATATGCCTCAACCCCAAATTAATGGGAAAGATAAGTACTATCCAAAATGACTTAAAATTATCATTTTGAACAGCACCTGTCTTTTCTATTAATTTGTGATTCAGGCATATAACTGGACATTAACTTATTCAGTCAGACGAATTGAGGTCTGAAAACACCTGAAGCCAATTTAAGAGTGAAATATTACTTTAAAACTAAATGCAGCAGCATTATGTTAAAAACAAGTACATCAGACTAGTAGAGTATGCTTTGAGCTCTCCACTCAAATTAAGCCTCACGTGTTTGGGAACCATTACCACATTTTTTTCAATTTTGTTGAGGAATTGATAGATCTTTGTCTGCAGAAAAAGCTTGCTGTTTGAAAAAGAGCAAAAGAGGTTAATATCAATTACATACAGCAACATTCAAGACAAAATACATAACTGAAACGCGTATAATGAAAATAAGATTTATTGTCAATCACTTTATCATACCCATGTTCCTGAAACATTGTTATCTCGTTTAGAAAAAAATGAAAAAAAATGTGTTTGGGACATGTTTCCTGGCACAAAATATTGTATTATACATAATTCTTCAAGACAGACTGACTCAGTTTATACAAAATTGGTGAAATCTATTTCTATCAGGATTACCACATCAATAATACGTTGTTTTTTTTACAACTGGGTTACATTCAAAAGTGTCAACACAAGTCAAGTTAAACTTGTGAAGAAACCATTATATGACCGCTGATATTGTCAATGCAATAGGTAGTGGAACACTTGTCATCCACAATATATTCACTACTTTTTCCAAAGGTGTGGTGGGATACTGGTAAAAGCCAGTCACTTACACTATTTGTTATACTACCTTAAAAAAAATACCAGGCCAAGTTGGCAGCAGCAGGTTCCGCCTCTTCAGCTTCCCCGACAGCGGAATCCACTTTAGCAATAAAGAAAAATAGGGGCGGTAAATAAAAACATCCTTCAGCAGAATAGTGATGTTTCACAAAGAGACCATTTCTAACCAAGCCATGGTAACCAACTATATTTGTTGTTTTCCCCCTCCAATTCTGTTTGAGAGCCAATATGAACTAATAATCTTATACTATAAAACTATTTGTGAAACATCAATCTCTTTTTTTCTCCCCCCAATAAAACTTGACTGCTAAATTCAACAAGCTCCCCATTTCTTTATATTTGGGAGTGAAATCAGTTAGATGTATATTTACAGGTTAAATTATTTATGCATAGAGCTTAATAAAAGAAAAGTTGAATATAAATTGAAGTAACAAATTGAAGTAATTACTCAACTCAAACTAAAAGAGAAACATATGTTCCAGTGTAAACCTAAAGTTACTTTAAAAGCCTCTGGTGAAGGCTAAGACAATGAAAACTTGAAATAACCTTGAAAAACATCTGAGAATGTATCAAATCATCAGCTTTTCTTGTTAAGAGATCCTTACCATGGAGCCAAGCAGACAGGGACGTTCTGTAACCCAGTCATCCAGCATGGTAGAACAATCACCACCTAGAAGAAAACTGGCAACAAGGTTTAACGAGTAACATGTTCTTATATCATTGGTTTCATAAAAATTTTCACACATGCTAATTCAACACTTCTTAAGTAATGATCTCAAAACAGTTTTAAGTGTTCATAAATTCCCTTGATATATTTTACTCTGAAGTTAAATCAGGTTCAGTCTCAACATCTGAAAACAGATAAACGTACTTGACCCTACATTTTGAATGATGCGCTTGCACTCTCTGCACACTTCGTGCAGAACTCCACTGAGACGTGGTTCTTGTCCACGTGCAGACAGACGTCACCAGAGGTCTCCTTCTCCATCTTCACATGTTTGCTGGGCAAGGCATAATCGTGGAAGATAATTTCATGCCGTTCACCCAGCTCAGCCTTGACAACAGCTGGGCTAACATACTCTCGTTGGCCAACACTGCTCTCAGGTACCTCATCTCATCTTCCAACCTCTTATTCAATTGGACGTTTACCTGTTTAAGGACGTGGTTTTCTGACAACAGAGACCCGACTTTATTCTCCAGTCCGTTGACGTATTCCTTCTTTTTCAGACTATTCATTTGCGCAGCGATGGCGTTCTTGTTGATCATGCGCCCGGGTGATCTCGCCACTTCCTTTTCTGAACAGCAGACACTCCTGGCGATGGCGTCCTGGACGCACCGATTCCATAATCTTGATCTGTTGTGTCACCCACACCTAATTCGGTCAATCTAATGTCGAAAAGAGGGGAGACTGCATCCTTCTCAAATGTCCAGTTTAACTTGTCGATTCCAAATAAATCATCAAGCTCTTGTCGTATCGGGTGAATGCTGGCAATTATTGCTGATAAACAAAGGAGTCCGCTCATACTGAACTTTGATCATAAGGTTTATTCATATCACAAGCTTTCAGCATAAGTTACAGGTGACATGCCCACCCGGAGAGCGACGCCTCAGATTGCAATGGCCGCTCTGGCCTCTCTTTGTCTAGCCCCTACTTATAAACAATGCAAAAAGATGGGTGGCTCCCTCTGCTGTCCAATCACCCGTCTCCCCTGGGGCGTCACCCCACAAACGCCACATTTGACCTAACATAAACAACATTCCATTTCTTCATGAAAAACATTTAACAAAGGCATAATCCTAATACACGACATTTCCCCCCTTCGAGACTAACTAAAAGTCTCGAAAACAAACAGAAAGAT